GAGTCTCACTCTGTCGCCCAGACTAGAGTGCAGTGGCCGCTCCTGGCCACCACAGCCTCGACCTACTGGGCTCTGGTGATCCTTCCGCCTCAGCCTTCCAAGTAGCTGTAATTACAGGCGCACGCTACCACGCCCAGCTGATTTTTGATTTATTGTAGAGATGAGGTCTCGCCAAGTTGCCCAGGAGGGTCTCGAACCCGCGGGCTCAGGCAATCCACTCACCTCAGCCTCCCAAAGGCATGGGATTACAGGTTGAGCCACCGAGCCTGACTTGCTCTTTTAATTAAGGAGAAGAAAGACAACAGCCTGATCCCCAATAATCTAAGACATAAACCTTACATAAGCCATCAATACATAATACATCTGGTGTCATCTATTGACATTTTGCTCATGTATCACATAACATGTGCTCTATCAACATAAGATATGTTAAACACATACAACATACAGAAACTTTTCCTTAGACACACTTTGAAAGCTTTGCCATGTCTAAAAGTTTTAGGACAGGTCAGGATGCTAAGGCAATGGCACCTGACGTCTATAAGACTCATGATGTCCTCCTGTAACTCAAGTTTTATGTCCCACCAGAATCGAGGCCTGGAAATCTGGTCAACTACACGGTGTTCAGTTTGAGAAAGTACACCCAATGCCAGTTACTGCGGATTCTGGCAGGCCTGCCTGGAAGTCAGAAACAGGTTTGAGGCCCAGTACACTGGGTGACTGTCTAGAAGTGGTATCTATGTCTCTGTACCTCAGTTTCCCCATCTATGAAATTGGGACCCAGTATCCACCTCATTGGGGGCAGAGAAGGCCAAGTGAGTTCTCTACATGAGCCCACAGCACAAGCAAGCAGACATGCTGTATGCCATCACTGCTGTTGCTGGAATGATGCTTACAATATCCAAGCACTGCCTGCCCACACACATGAAGCAGAGGGCTGGCATTTTGGGGCTTCAGGGGTTCCTTTCAGGATGTGCCAGGGAGGACTTCCAGGAAGAACTCAGGCATGGCATGGCCAGTGCTGTAGGGCTGCACCCACCCAGCATGGCCCTGCTATCCCCCTCACAGGTGTCAGAGGTCAGGTACAGACAGGTCACGTAGGCACTCACCCTCAGCAATGGCGCCCAGCACCAGGATGCCCGACTCCTTGACCACCCACTCGGGGTGGAAGAGGAGGCCCTTGAGTAGGGGGAGTAGGTGGGGCAGCAGTTCTTCCCGGAAGACATTGGCAAGGACATCCAGTGCAGCTGCTGAGCACTTCCCTGGGCAGAGGAACATCCGAGGGCAGGCTTAGGGTAGGCGGCCGACCCTCCTTGATGGTACCCCAGGATCAGAGACCATGATCAGAATCCAGATCCCTTGGGCTTCTAGCCACCCCCCACCCCCAGCCTGGGGTCGGGCCACGCACTCAGATTCCAGTCAGACAGAGCTTTGCCATGTCTAAAAGTTTTAGGACAGGTCAGGATGCTAAGGCAATGGCACCTGACGTCTATAAGACTCATGATGTCCTCCTGTAACTCAAGTTTTATGTCCCACCAGAATCGAGGCCTGGAAATCTGGTCAACTACACGGTGTTCAGTTTGAGAAAGTACACCCAATGCCAGTTACTGCGGATTCTGGCAGGCCTGCCTGGAAGTCAGAAACAGGTTTGAGGCCCAGTACACTGGGTGACTGTCTAGAAGTGGTATCTATGTCTCTGTACCTCAGTTTCCCCATCTATGAAATTGGGACCCAGTATCCACCTCATTGGGGGCAGAGAAGGCCAAGTGAGTTCTCTACATGAGCCCACAGCACAAGCAAGCAGACATGCTGTATGCCATCACTGCTGTTGCTGGAATGATGCTTACAATATCCAAGCACTGCCTGCCCACACACATGAAGCAGAGGGCTGGCATTTTGGGGCTTCAGGGGTTCCTTTCAGGATGTGCCAGGGAGGACTTCCAGGAAGAACTCAGGCATGGCATGGCCAGTGCTGTAGGGCTGCACCCACCCAGCATGGCCCTGCTATCCCCCTCACAGGTGTCAGAGGTCAGGTACAGACAGGTCACGTAGGCACTCACCCTCAGCAATGGCGCCCAGCACCAGGATGCCCGACTCCTTGACCACCCACTCGGGGTGGAAGAGGAGGCCCTTGAGTAGGGGGAGTAGGTGGGGCAGCAGTTCTTCCCGGAAGACATTGGCAAGGACATCCAGTGCAGCTGCTGAGCACTTCCCTGGGCAGAGGAACATCCGAGGGCAGGCTTAGGGTAGGCGGCCGACCCTCCTTGATGGTACCCCAGGATCAGAGACCATGATCAGAATCCAGATCCCTTGGGCTTCTAGCCACCCCCCACCCCCAGCCTGGGGTCGGGCCACGCACTCAGATTCCAGTCAGACAGAGCATCGTCATCATCGTCATCCTCTGCATCTTCAGAACCATCAGGTCGCTCAGCCTCATGGGGCAGCGTCACTGTGCGTGACTTGTGGAAGCGTGGCTTGATGTCCTGCTCGCTGTCAGGGACTGCCTCATCCTCCTCCACGTCCCCCTGAGGGCCGGGCAGACCACTAAGCACTGCCGATGCCCCAGCCCCGACAGCCCTCCCCATGTCCACCCGTGTTGGGCAGTTAACCCCGCCTGACCTTGAGCAAGATGATGTCAATTTCTGAGTACTTCATCCCATTTACCAGGATAGGGATCAGCCTGTTGGGAGAGAGGCCATTCATCTGGGTGTAGGAGCCCATGAACTCCTGGCCTCAGGCAGTCCTCCCATCTCATCCTCCCGAAGCACTGGGATTATAGGTGTGAGCTGCCCTGCCTGGCCCACAGGCTCCTGACTCCTGAATGCACTGAATACCTTGGGACAGCACCTGGTCCCTAGCATCACATAAGGTAGGGACATGCAAACAAGTCCCTGGGTATCTTCCTGAAATGAGGCAGATGGGCCAGCCTAGGGAAGCAAATAGACTGGATAGCTGGTCCGACCCTCAGCTGGAGCCCACACCCCTTGGAGCTGGAAACTCTAATAGAGCCTTCACTACCTACTCGGCAAGGGTCTCATCAGTCCCCAAGATTCAACCACCAAGAATGACATAGAGATAGGCAAGCGATCTAAATTGGTCAGAGGGTCAGCTCTAAGACTTTTGTTGAAGATATTAGTCAAGAGAATTTCTTTACTCTGAGGTTCCTGAGCTAGAAAGGTGCAGAAGGCCACGGCACCATGATGAGGGAACACCAGGCCTGAGAATGAAGCCAATGCAGCGGAAGCAGATCTGAGACTTGTCTTTCACATCCTTTAAGCACCTGGACAGCCACACCTGACACCTTTGTTGATTTTTTTTCATTTCTTTCTGCCTGTCGATTGCCTAACTTGAAGTCATTAAAACGGCATTCTTATAACTTACAAATCAATGTACACAGAATCAAAAGTAAACTGATGAGGACATGGACTGAGGCAAGCACAGGAAGTGCCCAGAGGGAAGGTAGGGACACAGCGAGAGGTCAAAGCTGGGGTCAGACAGAAGGCAGAAACTGCACTCACTGGACCAGATGGGAGGCCAGGACTTCCTTGCAGATGGGCTGCTCAGCCAGCGTCAGCCAGAACTCACAAGCTTCGAGAGCCACGTTCTCGTCGTGGTCCTGGGTCCTCTGCAGCATATACTATGGTGGGGGGGAAGAGGTTGAGGCCCGGTCCAGCAGAGAGTGGTTCCCTGATACCCACCAAGCCCCTGACCACCCGCCTGTCTGCCTGGGCTGGCCTGGCTGTGCACACCTGGATAATGCTGTGCATATGGGGGATAAGCCTGTCAATCCGCACTTCCAGAAGCATCACCAGGGCGCGGCACACGTTCTTCCGTACCTCAGGGTCATCATCCACGGCCAGGGCAAACAGGTGCTGAGGGGAAGGGCAGGGTCAGCAGCGGCAGGCCTCAGTCCTCACCCTATCCGCCCCCAGCTGGCAGCCCACCTCAATAAAGGTATCAATGTTGTCCATGAGTGCCTGGGCCCGGTCCATGATGAACTGGTTCACGCAGGCAATGGCATGGGACCTGGCAGGGGACAGACACATGAGTCATCTCTGACCCCATCTGCTCATCCATTCCAGGACCCCTGGGAACCCCTAGGGAACTGCACCCACCGGATCTTGGGGCTACAGTGCTTGAAGAACTGCAAGAACTTGGGTATCATAATGTTCAGGGGCCTGTTAAGGGCATCACTGTCCAAAAGCTCTGAGGAGTCTTCACAGATCTTCTGCAGGGCTCCGAAGGCTCCCTGCGTGGAGAGGGGCAGAGAGATGGGTATGGGCGGAGGTCGTGGCCTGGGTCCAGCCTTCATGCCAACCACATCTTGTCCCTACCTCACAAGTGTTGTAATCCTCCGAGTTGAGCAGGTTGCACAGCTGGGGCAGTAGCTCAGGCCACATCTGCAGCTCACCCTTGGAAGCGATGGTGGTGATGAGAATGCCTGGGGCGGCCAGGAAAGGACGCTGCCTCAGGCTGGGAGAGGACTGCCCAGCACCTCACCCTCCACCCTGGCACCCACAGTGTTGCCTTTCTGTACCCTAGTCCATGTACGCCCTACCCTTTCCCCTCAGTTTTTTTAAAGTCAGAGTCTCACTCTGTCACCCAGGCTGGAGTGCAGTGGTACAAACACAGCTCACTGTAACTACAAACTCCTGGGCTCAAGAGAGCCTCTCGCCTCAGCTTCTCGAGTAGCTGGGACTACAGGCTACTACTACTACTATGCCCAGCTAATTTTTAAAAATTTTTGTCTTGCTATGTTGCCCAGATTGGTTTTGAATGCCTGGTCTCAAGAAGTCCTCCCACCTCAGCCTCCAAAAGTATAGGTATTACAGGCATGAGCCACCACACCTGGCCTTGAGTTGAGTACAAGGGGTGCTTGTTGACTCAGCAAGTATCCTGAGTCCTACTATGAACCAGCTCATTTCCAGGCCCTGGGATACAGCATACAATAAAACACAAAATCCCTGCCCTTGGGAGCTAGACTGGGTGGTGATATAAAGATACATCAACAAAAGAACTGGAAGGACACATGCCAAGGGCTAAGGGGAAAGTAAAGCAGAAACACTGGCTAGAAAGGGGTAGAAAGGGCTGAGGACAGCAACTTTAAATTGGGTGGCCAGTACAGACCTCATCAAGGTGACATCTTGACATATGAGCAAAGACCTGAAGGAGGTGAGGAAGGAGCCATCCAGGTACCCGGGGAAAGAGCATCCCAGACAAAGGGGTCAGTGAGTGCAAAGTCTCCATAGGACAGGCATAGTGTGTTCACAGATGGGCGAAGACCAGTGCAGCTAAGCAGAGTGTGGTGGGGAGTGGGAGGAGGTAAGGCCTGGGAGGTGACCTGAGCAAATCGTGCAGGGTCTTGTGGCTGCTGGGATAACTTTTTCTGCCAATTAGAAAGGAATCTGGCTGGGCTCGGTGGCTCAGCCTGTAATCCCAGCGCTTTGGGAGGCTGAGGTGAGTGAACTACCTGAGCCTGCGGGTTCGAGACCCGCTTGGGCAACTTGGCGAGGCCTCATCTCTACAATAAATCAAAAAATTAGCCGGGTGTGGCAGTGCGTGCCTGTAGTTTCGGCTACTTGGAAGGCTGAGGCAGAAGGATCGCCGGAGCCTAGCAGGTCGAGGCTGCGGTGGCCGGGAGCGTGCCACTGCACTCCAGTCTGGGCAACAGAGTGAGACTCCGACAGAAAAAAAAAAAAAAAGAAAGAAAGAAAGGAATCTAGGCGTGATGTGTAGCAGGCATCAGAGGCAGTGAGGCCCTCTGGCAGCAGTTACATGTGGGTGCTGTCAATGCAGAAATGGCACTCACTGCCACAAGATGGCAGTGTTTCGCAGGGGTAGACAAGGCCATATGAAAAAAGGAGGTGCTCCCTGTGACAATGGATACGCCATGAGGACAGAGTCCAGGCCCAGTCCAAACCCTGTCTGTGTCCTTGGCCACATCACAACATTCTTTGTGCCTCAGTGCTCTCAGCCCTCAATGGGGATAAAGGACACCAACATCTTTATAACGCCAAGTGTGGTGGTGGCACCCAGCTTCTTTGGAGGCTGTAACGGGAAGACTGCTGGAACCTAGCAGTTCAAGGCCGCAGTGAGCTATGTTCACAACACTGTGCTATATCTTGGACAACAGAGCAAGACCTCATTTCTTCTGGGTTTTTTTTTTAGTTGGAGTCTCACTCTGCTGCCCAGGCTGGAGTGCAGTGGCACGATCACGGCCACCACAGCCTCGATTTGCTGGGCTCAGGTGATCCTTCGGCCTTACCTCCCAAGTCTGGAACCACAGGCATGTGCCACCATGCTCAGCTGACTTTTTTATTTATTGTAGAGACGAAGTATCGCCATGTTGCTCAGGCTGGTCTCGAACCCATGAGCTCAGGTAATCCTCTTGCCTCTACCTCCCAAACTGCTAGGATAACAGGCGTAAGCCACCACACCCAGCTGAGACCTCATCTCTTTAAAAAAAAAAAAAAAAAAAAAGAATACCAGCCTCCTAAGTTTACTGACCAAGTTTTATTTTTTTTTAATTTTTATTTATTTATTTTTTTGAGTTGGAGCCTCACTCCTTTGCCCAGGCTGGAGTACAGTGGCACACACATGCTCAGGGCCACCCCAGCGTCGACCTGCTGGGCTCTGGGGATCCTTCCGCCTCAGCTTTCCAAGTAGCTGGAACTACAGGTGCGTACTACCACACACAGTTAATTTTTTGATTTATTGTAGAGACAAGGTCTTGCCAGGTTGCTCGGGATAGTCCTGAACCCCTCTCACCTCCACCTTCCAAAGTGCTGGGATTACAGGCGTGAGCTACCACATTCAGCTGCTTCTATCTTTATTGCATTTAATTTTAAGGTTAACTTCCCTTTAGAAAAGCCAATCTGTCTTTCCATTTAAAACAGTTATACAATTTTTTTTTTAAAGCAAATATTTTTTCAGATGGGATCTTACTACATTGCCCAGGCTGGTCTTGAACTCCTGGGCTCAAGCATCAATCCTCTCATTTCAGCCTCCTGAGTAGCTAGGAGTACAGACACGTGCCATGGCACCTGGCTTAAAAGAATTCTTTTTTTTTTTTTTTTTTTTGAGTCAGAGTCTTACTCTGTCACCAGACTGGAGTTCAGTGGCACACTCCTGGCCACCGCAGCCTCGACCTGCTGGGCTCTGGCACGCTCCCATCCACCGCAGCCTCAACCTACGGGGCTCCAGTGATCCTTCTGCCTCAACCTTCCAAGTAGCTGGAACTACAGGCACACGCTACCACGCCCAGCTAATTTTTGATTTATTGTAGAGATGAGGTCTCGCCAAGTCATCCAGGCGGGTCTCGAACCCACAGGCTCACACAATTCAGTCACCTCGGCCTCCCAAAGCACATGATTACAGGCTGAGCCACTGAGCCCGGCCAAGAATTTTTTTTTTTTTAATAGGAGCTCACTGTCAACCAGACTGGAGTGCAGTGGCAGGCTCACGGCCACCGCAGCCTTGATCAGCTGGGCTCAGGTGATGATCCTTCCAGCCTCAGCCTTCCAAATAGTTGGAACCACAGGCTCAGGCCACCACACCCAGCTAGTTTTTTGGTTTATTGTAGAAACGAGGTCTCACTTGGCCCAGGCTGGTATTGAACCCCTGGACTCAGGCGATCCTCTTTCCTCTGCCTCCCAAAGTGCTGGGATTACAGGCATGAGCCACACCATACCAGGCTCAAAGGAATTTTTTTTTTTTGAGTTGGAGTCTCACTCAGTCGCCCAGACTGGAGTGCAGTGGCCACTTCCGGCTACCACAGCCTCAACCTGCTGGGCTCCGGTGATCCTTCCGCCTCAGCCTTCCGAGTAGCCAGAATTACAGGTGCGCGCTACCACGCCTGGCTGATTTTTTAAAAATTTATTGTAGAGATGAGGTCTCGCTGCCCAGGCGGGTCTCGAACCTGTGGGCTCAGGCAATCCACTCACCTCAGCCTCCCAAAGGCGCGGGATTACAGGCTGAGCCACCGAGCCCGGCTCAAAGGAATTTTTTAATGTTGACACAGATTTTTTTTTTTGAGTCAAGATCTCACTCTTGCCCTGGCTAGAATGTCATGATGCAAGCATAGTTCACCACAGCCTTGACCTCCTGAGCTCAAATGATCCCCTCACCTCAGCCTCCTAAGTAGCAGGGACTATAGGCGTGCACCACCATGCCCAGCTTAATTTTTTTTTTTTTACTTTTTGTAGAGACGAGGTCTTGCTATGTTGCCCAGGCTGGTCTCAAACTCCCGGATTAAAGCAATCCTCCTGCCTCAGTCTCCCAAATTGCTGGGATTACAGGTATGAGCCAACATGACCAGCCTAAAAGCTGACACAGATTTATGGGAAAATATTTAAGTTGGTAACAAGTAGTCGAGTTGGCATTTATCAGTGGTGAAATGCCTGGAAGCAAGATTCCTTCAGCTAATTCTTTGCCATCCTTCTGTAACTTCCTCAGACAGCCTTCCAAAGTCAGGAAGCCTCCACTGCAAACCGAAGTCATATTGTGCGCAGGCACAATCTCATCACTGGCGAGAATTTGCTAATAATTGTCTCTAGGACCTGGACATTGTGCTCCACCAAGGCAGGGAACCTGCGTATTTTAACGGCTATACCCCCAGCACTCAGCCCAGGACATGGCACACAATTCTAGATATTGAGTGACTGACTCAGAGGCAAGAAGGGCTGTTTCAGGAGGGAGTGGTTCCTGAGTGTGGACCTGCACTGCTTGGATTGCTTCTGAGCCCTGTTACTTACCAGGCAAGACCCTTAACATCTCAATGGCTCAGTTTCTTCATCTGTCAAACGGCAATAGTAACACTACTATCATACAGGGTGCTGAAACATTCAGAGAAGCAATACCCTTGACATGCTGAGAAGCTTCTTGGCCAAGAGTGAGAGCTCAGCGTGTCCTCAGAGGCTAACCCCCGCCACCCCTCTCACCGATGGTGGCTCTAATGAGCGAGGAGGCATCGCCAATGTTGTTTAGACACTCCTGTTTGATGAAGTCAGCCACAGGTGGCGGGAAGCTCTGGTAATGTGCCTTCACGTTGTTCTTAAGGATGAGGCCGCTGAGAGAACGAGTTGGCTCATCTAGAGGGGAGAGGCCTAAGCTTCAGGGTCACAGGGAAGAAAGCAGAGTCAAGCCCACATGGAGGGGTGCAGAGGGCATACCTTCTGACTTGAGTCTGGTTAGGACGAAGATCAGGTAGTTGTTGAAGTCAGGAAATTGGTTGAGTTGTTTGAGTTTCTGCCAGGCTGTTAAGGGACTTGGGAGAGAGGGACCTTCCCTGGGCAGGGCCCCCTCAATGTCATGTAACTGATAGCATCTCTGACCACTAGGACCACACAGTGAGCTCCTGGGGTCCCACTGTCCACAACAGCACAGGCTATCTCAGAAACATGAAATTCATACAAGGATTAGGAATGCCTACTTATAGGAACCCCCACTCCTGAAGACCCAGCCAGAGCAGGAGAGATAGGGAACCCCACTCCCCGAAAGGTGGCAGGCAGCTGCCACTCAGCTCTGCTCACCAGCAGTCCAATGGTGCTTGCTTTTTTATTTTTTTAGTTTTATTTTTTTGAGTTGGAGTCTCCCTCAGTCGCTCAGACTGGAGTGCAGTGGCTGCTCCCAGCCACCGCAGCCTCACCTGCTGGGATCCGGCGATCCTTCCGCCTCAGCCTTCCGAGTAGCCGGAATTACAGGCATGCGCTACCACGCCCGGCTGATTTTTTGATTTATTGTAGAGATGAGGTCTCGCTGCCCAGGCGGGTCTCGAACCCGCGGGTTCAGGCAATCCACTCACCTCAGCCTCCCAAAGGCGCGGGATTACAGGCTGAGCCACCGAGCCTGGCTGGTGCTTGCTTTTTTAAAACATAAAAAGAAAAGAATCCAAATTTGCAAGTGAAACTTGCTAATGTTGTGAAGTTTTTAAAATTTTAACTTATATTTTAAACAACCAATCAGAAAAAAGAAATTTTAGCCACAAAGCCTAAAGGAAACCCAAGTGCCTACTAGAGGTGCCTCCCACACCCAGGGCCACATGTTGCCCCATTCTGACAGGGCAGATTGGACTCAAATCTGCTAGGGCTTACTAGCTATGACCTTGGGCAAGTTGTTTTGCCTTTCTAAGCCTCGATTTACCCATCTGGAAACCGGGAAGAGTAAATGTTAATAGAGTAAGTCCTCAATGAACATTAGGAATTTGTATTACTTTCCATAACAAATCCCTGCAGCTCTAGAAATGAGACCCAGGAATTCTAATCCTTAATTCTCTGTCCAGGCCAGGTCCTCACCACGGCAGAAAACATTAGGGAGTTGGCCCCTCCCTCTCTGGCCTTCAGAAGTTGCAGATGTCTGCCGGTTTCGCCCGGCCCGGAAGGAAGGAAGGATACGTCCTGCACGATGCGCTGCGTGGCCGTGTTGGGCGACTGCGAGTCTTTGAGCAGCTGCAGGACCTGCTGCAGGCCCTGCTCATCTGGCTGCCAGTCCATGGCGCAAGGCGAGCTGCGGGGGTAGGGGCCAGGGTCAGCGCTGGGTCTCTGGGGCTCGGTGTTAGACCCAGGTTGAGCTCCTGAGGCCGCTATAGTCGCATGCCGACGGGAGCGTCCTCGACGGACGGGAGGAGGCCGCCGATCCACGCCCGCCCAAGTGCGGGGTCCCCGCCAGCTGCGCCATCCTCGGCCGCGCAGCCGCGGGCTCGGGAGCGCGGGAGGGGGGATGTGGAAGCGGGCCACGGGCGGCGGCGACGGGGCCCGCCGGATCCTCATCGGGCCCAGCGCAGAGCCCTCGTCCCAGGGCGGCCCTTGCTGCCGACCCCGGCTGCGAGCCCTAAGGCTTCCGCCTCCCTCGCAGCGGTGGGGCGAGGGCCCAGACGCCTCCACATCCAGGGGCCCCGCCCCAGACCGTGATAGCGCCCCGGCCCCCGTGGTCTCCCTGGTAGAGGCACGGTCCCTGAAGATTTCCCTTCTCCCGAAATCCGGCTCTCAAGCTCCGCCAGGTCCCGGCGGCCTCCTGCCCTGGTCCAGTTCCTAACCCTCCCCAGGCGCACAGTCCCAAGACGCTCCACACAGTCCCGATCCCTCCCTCCCTCCCCTAATCTGGCCCTTCAAGCTCAGCGGATGCCAGACGTCCCCCCTTCTGGCCTAACCAAACCCTGCCTAGAGATTCCCCGTAATCAGGACCGAAGCAGTCCCCAGTTAGGTCTCTACTGCCTCTTGGAATCAGAGCCAGCCAAACCCGCCCAACTCAGTTCAGAAGACCCTTGGATGAGTCCCTGTAGCCTTCCCCAATCAGGTCTGGCCAAGCCTTCCACCCTCCGCCCCAGTCAGCAGTAACTCCGGCTGAAGGATCTCTGCTGCCTCCCCCAGCCAAGTTCGGCCAAGCCCCCCACACCTCGACTCGGTAAACCCCTTGGTCCGAACCCTGCAGCCTCCCCAACTAGGCCTGGGTGAACACCCCCCAGAGCATTCCCTTCAACGGATCTCAGCGACACCCCGCAATCAGACCCAGCAAAACCCTCTAGACCGAAGTCCGGCGCCCCTCCCTATCAGGGCCCAACAAGCTCCCCCCGCAACTTTCCGGTGCGGCCTTCCCCAATCAGACCCAACCAAGCCCCGCCGAAGCAGGCCCCCCCCCC